TTATTATTTGTTATTTTTGTCTCTATCCCTTTTAAGGTTGTGGTTTTGTTACCAAGTAGCTATAGTTATTTGTATTGATTTTCCCCCTTTAACCCGTGTACTCTAATTAAGTGTTTAACAACCGATTCTGTATTGATGTGGTGATGTCACACTCTCCTGGGCCAGGCCAAAGGCACACCAGACGAAGGACAGACGTTCATGGCAAATGGGCCACTCTTCTCGTTCTGTCCATGGGGGCCCTTGCCTCTCCTCCCTGCCCGTCGGTGGTGTGTGGAAGGCAGGGGTGCAGCATCCAGCTGGCAGTGCTGGAGTCCTCTGATGCAGCAGACACTGTCACTTCAACTCCTCCCCGTGGTGGGGAGGGCCATCCTGCCACTGCACTGCACTCCCATCAGTCAGCATGTGAACATGTCTCACCTGGCCCCCTGTGGTGCCCATGGAGCACTCCAGGTCTCCCCTCAGGTGCCCGAGGCTGAGCGATGAGTCATTTCCCTTTCCCAGCTAGCCCCTTGGGTCTCCACTGCAGTGGTATGTCATGTGAGCAGCTCTCTTGAGGGGTGGAGACAGAAAGGGAGGTACACCTGTTCCCCCGTGCAGGGCCAGGTGCTGCCTCCTCATGGTCATCCCCACTCCAGGGGGCAGGGGGGACTGGTAAGTGATCACCAGAGAGGTCACCAAAGAATACGGGGCTGGGTGTGGTGGGAGAAACTCCTAGAGATCTGAGTCCACGCTGCTATGTCCCATCATCTCTGCATAGAGAGGCAAACACTGGTTTACCAAACCTTTGCTTTTCCATCTCCAGGTGAGTGACCTTCCTCCCCTTTGAAGTCCCAAACCACTACCCTCCACACTCTCTTTGGTCTTTAGGAGCCAAAGGTGTTTTTTAGAGAAGGGCTTTGGTCATTTTGGCAAGTGACTCGGTTCTCCCAGCAGGGTTTCTCGCGTGGACGCATGTGTAGGGGAGCAGAATTTGCCACCCTCACCTATGTCTCTTTGGCATATTGTTTGAAGCTGGTTATTTCTTGAGTTGTAGAAAGGGCTCTGGAAACCAAGTAGGAGTTGCCCTTTCATAAGGAAATTTTCCATTTGTAAGGGTGACTCCCTCTCAAGACCTGGAAGAGGAGGATCACCCATTCTCTAAAAAATCTTATTGAGGACAAGGACGGCCAGAGAGGGGAAGGCACGGACTTAAATGTGCATCACAATCATCCTTGTCCACTGTGTTTTCCCTGGTCACCTCCCCAAATTGACTCTCTCCACCCTTGACATCCTCGTTTGTCTTTAGCTGAGAACGGTATTGAAGACGAGGGCTTCAGCCACTTTGACGAGTGAGTCAGTTTTCCTGGGACTCTCTCACGTGTTATTCAGCTTTGACTTTCTCCTGTTCATCTGTTGTCTCGTGTCAATTTAATTCTTAGATCAGCCAGAAGAACCTAGAAAAGCAGAGGAAAAGCTCTTCCTCCCCGACAACACTATCGATACACTTGTCACTATGAGATACACTTGTCAAAACCTATAGAATGGGGACTTCCCTGGTGGTGCAGTGGTTAAGAATCCGCTGCCAATGCAGGGGACACGGCTTCGAGCCCTGGTCCGGGAAGATCCCACATGCCGTGGAGCAACTAAGCCCATGCGCCACAACTACTGAGCCTGTGTGCCTAGAGCCCGTGCTCTGCAACAAGAGAAGCTACTGCAATGAGAAGGCAGCACAGCGCAACAGAGTAGCCCCCACTCACCACAACTAGAGAAAAGCCCGCATGCAGCAACGAAGACTCAATGCAGCCAAAAATAAATAAATAAATTTTTTAAAAAATTCTTTAAAAATAAAAACAAACCTATAGAATGTACAACACCAAGAATGAACCCTAGGGTAAACTCTGGACTCTGGGTGATCATGAGGTGTCCACGTAGGTTCATCCGTTGTGACCAAACGTTGCTCTGGTGCAGGATGTTCATAGGATAGTTGAAGAGTGCCAGGCTCTGAGCGCCTGGAGGGCATGGGGCAGGCAGGGAGGAGCAGGGGACATAAGGGAACTCTCTGTCCTCTCTGCTCAATTTTGCTCTGAACCCTAATCTGCTCTAAAATATAATTCAGACTATTTGAATACAAACCAACAAGAAAAAAAAAAGCCTATTCTGATATAGAGTTGTGATTTTCTGATTCTATTTACTACTTTACTCAAAGTTTTGTGTACTTTTGCCTTTTTGTTTCAGGTAGAAGAGTTCCTTTCAATATTTCTTGTAAGGCAGGTCTAATGGTGATGAACGCTCTTGGCTTTTGTTTGTCTAGGAAAGCCTTTATTTCTCCTTCATATCTGCATATTCTTGGCTGACAGTTTTTATCTTTCAATATTTGAGTATATCATTCCATGCTCTTCTGTCAGGTAAAGTTTCTGCTGAGAAATCTGCTGATTGCCTAATGGAGGTTCCTTTGTAGGTTACCATCCTTCTTTCCCTGGCTACCTTTAAAATTCCATCTTCATCATTCAATTTTGACAGTTTGAATATAATGTGTCTTGGAGGAGGTCTTTTTGCACTGATGTAATTAGATGTTCTCTTAGCTTAATGGACTGGTATCTATATATCCAGTTCCTTCCCCAGGCTTGGGAAGTTCGCAGCTATTATTTCCTTAAATAAACTTAAATAAACTCTCTGTTCCCTTTTCCCTCTCTTCTCCTTCTGGGATATCCATTATCCTAATACTGCCCTTCCTAATAGAGTCAAACAATTCTCATAGAATTTCTTAATTCTCGCCCCATTTACCTGTATCATTTGTACATTTCTATCTTCCTGATCACTCTTTCTCTCTTCCATGTGGTCTGCTCTATTTCCAGTGCTTTCTGATGCATTCTTCCTCTAATTTATTGAGTTCTTAAGCTCCAGAATTTCTGTTTGGTCCTTTTTAGAATTTCAGTCTCTTTGGTAAAATACTCCTTCTGTTCACTAAATTTATTCCTGAGCTCATTGAACTGCCTTTCTGAGTCTTCTTGTAGCTCGTTGAGTTTCTTCATGACAGCTGTTTTGAATTCTCGATCAGTTAGGTTGCAATATTCCATGGCTTTTTGTTTGGTTTCTGGAGAATTGTCCATTTCTTTTTGTGATACCATCTTACCATGGTTTCTCACGGTGCTTGATGAGTTTTCCTCTGCCAGTGCATTTGAAGTGGCAAACACCTTTCTTCTTTAGGTAAAGCTTTTTGTTTTACTTGATTCTAAACAATTCACCAGATTAGTAATTAGGAGCCTTTCTTTTGTTTTTTAGTAAGTGGACATTTAACACATTTCTGGTTTCTCTTACCTGAGCTGCCTCTCATTATATTGGGTTGGCCAAAAAGTTCGTTCGTGTTTTTCCAGAAACCTTATGGAAAAACCCAAACGAATTTTTTGGCCAACCCAATACTTGAGAATTGGCACTTTCCACTCTCACTGTCTCTGCCAAAGATGTCACCACGTACCCTCATTATAGCTGCTTGTGCCTCCAGGTTTTCTGGTGCCTTGCTGCTTCTGGTGTCACTGGTGTCACCACCTGGGCTCCAGGATGGCTGGCGCCTCCACCTTGTCTGGATTATGTGTGGCCAGAGCTGAGCCAAAGTCTTAAGATGACTTGTGGCCTCTTGAGTGAGCATCATGTCATCACATTTGCTATTTTTCTCAATACATAGATAAAGGCATTCCAGGGACTTCCCTGGTGGCACAGTGGTTAAGAATCCACCTGCCAATGCAGGGAACACTCTTATATTGGAAACTCTTTTGTTCCTTTTGAACATTTTTATCATGTGTACATGTTACACATTCCAAAAATTGAATAAAGTAATACAAATAAATATTCACACAAAACAAGTTTTTCTTCTAGATAATTTGCCTGCAAAAGCCCTCACACATGTACAAAAGGAAAAAAAAAATGCCTCTTGTAAAGAACTGGAAACAACCAGGGTAAAGAACTGGAAACAACCAAAGTCTTCATCAGTAGGGAAATAAGTATGTAAAATATGGAATAGTATATAGCACTTAGAGGGAACAGATAAATGGTAGATAGATAAATGAGATAAGTACATAGACAAATAGATCTATCATAGAATAACACTTAAAGGAAAGGAACTAGATTGATCTCTCTGTGTATCAACACGGAATGACTGAAAAATATATTAAGTAGAAAAAAAGCATAATATAGAGTATGTGTTTAGCATAAAATTTAAGTCGAATTTTAAAAACACACTAAATAAAAGTATAAAAAATGGGCTAGAAGGATACCAAACTCACAATGTAGCTTACAAGTGTGGAGGGCAAGATTGGGGGTTGGGGAGTGGGGAACTTGTGATATCAATAGTTTATTTCTTGAAAACAACTACCAAAAAAAAAAAAAAAGGGAAACAAATATGACCAAATGTTAAAAGTTTTAATTCTGGATGATAGGAATATATGTATTTATTGTTTTATCCTTTGTGTTTTTCTGTATTTTAAACAGTTCTAGAAATGTAAATAAAAGTAAAATACAAACATCCAGCCAAGATTCTCCAGATAGATCTTTTACTTTCTTTATAAAGTCAGGTCCACTTTAAACAATCAGCCTTGACACTATTAAAAAAATATTCCTTTAAAAACTAAAGTTTTTGTTAGAAGTTAAACATTGGGAAACTCTCTGGTTGTGATTTCGGATTTCATACTTCAGATGCAACAGGATGGAACCAAGGTCAAAGAGAATGCAGGGAAGTTTGACTCTTGTTCCAGCACTACGCCTTGTATACACCCACTTGTTCCTCCACAGCCCCTCCTTCTTGCCAGCTCCTGTTAGTATATTCTGCTGAGGAAGCAAGAAGACTTACTTCAAGACATACTTCCCTTTGTCCCTTCATTTTCCCTTTGCCTTTTGTTCTTTGAGGAAAATAAAACATTCTACAGGTGGAGCTTGTGAACAACACCTTCTTTAAAAACCAGAGCCTCCACCCTTACCTGACCACTTCAGCGCCAGCATCCTGCCCAGAAAAGACGCAATTAGCCAAAATGATATCTGGAGGCTTAACTGACGACAAACCTGCCACTCCAGAAATCCAGGAGATCGCTAACACGGTGAGTGGATGCAGCCCATGAAAAGGTTTGATCCAAAATCTTGGTTTAGGTTGGCCCTGTGTTAAATGTGTGGGTGAACATCAAAACCAGAATATGGGGAAATGTGTGGTTTTGTTCAGGTTTCCTTACAACTGAAAAGTTTTTCAGATGAAACCTCTGATAATTCTAACAGTGAGAGTGATCTTGAGCAAGTCATATCTCTTCTCTGAGCCTCAGGTTCCCCATTTGTAAAAGAAGAATTTTTATTGGATCATCTCTAAGGCTCTTACAATGTATGGTTCTAGGATTACTAATTCAGTTTCTAATGAAACTTTTCTATTCTCACCAAGTGGAGCCAACATGTAATTAAAGTCTGAGGTTGTTAACAATTGATGAACTAGGGACTTCCCTGGTGGCACAGTGGTTAGGAATCTGCCTGCCAATGAAGAGGACACAGGTTCGAGCCCTGGTCCAGGAAGATCCCACATGCCTCAGAGCAACTAAGCCCGTGTGCCACAACTACTGAGCCTGCGTGCCACAACTACTGAAGCCCGCACGCCTAGAGCCTATGGTCTGCAACAAGAGAAGCCACCACAATAAGAAGCCTGAGCACCACAACGAAGAGTAGCCCCCGCTCGACACAACTAGAGAAAGCCTGCGCACAGCAATGAAGATCCAATGCGGCCATAAATTAATTAACTAATTAAGAAAAAAAAAGAACCTGCTTATGGTTTAAAAAAAAAAAACAATTGATGAACTAGACGTCAAATGCACTACAGGAAAAAAAATTTTAATAGATTGAATGAAGAGCATTATCATAAAGATGATCCACTTACAAACTTCCTACAAATCTGACTCAATGGACAAAGTTTTAGTATTTGGAAGATGATTAAACTAGTAGAGAAGTGGCATAGTCTACGGTGATTCCAAAATTCATTATGGTGAAAATAGAATTCAATGTGTTTAGCAGGTTAATACATTTTTCTAAGTGTTGTCTGGTTAGCCATTACCTATATAATAAAAATTTATTGTATTGCATATTTTATGAAAAGAAAAAATACATAAATTTCTATTTTAGGTTTGTAAATTGTCACCCTATTTTCTTGTATCATTCCTTCTTGCTTTTTCTCGCTGAAACTTCATTCTATGACACTGTTTGGCAAAGATTAGCTTCTTGTGTAAGTGGAAGAGATGGGATTCTCTATGTTAGGGCACTGAGAAGCTCTCTAAGAGAGCAGATGCCTGAAATTCTACCACTCATTCTGTGGGGCTAAGTATTTCCCTTTCAAGAGTTCTTTTAAAAAAGTAGTTACTTTACAATAATGTGAATAAATATATGTGAAAGAATATTAGATCAAAAGTTTCAATTAGACACCAAGATACAAGGTGTCTTAGAAAGTGCACATTCCAAAGGATATGGTAATCCAGATGCAAGTTTTCAAAGGAAATAGCTAATAATAAATTAGATAATTCACCCATGTTAAGAGTAAAAAAAAAAAAAAAGTAAATACCTTGTCACTTTTTCTTTCTTGAGGAAGGTAATATTAAGTTATTAATGCCTTCATTCAAATCCCTGTATTGTCAGTGTTTTCAAACTTGAATGTGCACATGGGTCACCTGGAGGTCTTGTTAAAAGACCAGATTTTGACTCAGTAGGTCTGGGGTGGGCCTGAGGTTCTGCATTTCTAACCAGCTCTGGTGATGCCCAGGCTGTCCATGACCTCACTTGCCTGCAGTACTACAGATACAGGGTATTCTGAGAGGCCTATGGGAGATGGGCTTTCTAAAATCAGAGCGTGGGCAAAGAATCTCAATTTCATCTGTGAAATGAAAATAACACCTCTTGCCCTTCGACCTCAGAGCCGTAAGGACTAATGAGAGCACCTGCATAAAAGTGACTTGGAGGGAATTCCCTGGTGGTCCAGTGGTTAGGACTCTGAGCTCCCAGTGCAGGAGGCATGGGTTTAATCCCTGGTTGGGAACTAAGATCCCACAGGCCGTGACTTGGAAACGAGAAAGCAATGTGCATAGGTTAGGTGTTACAATTGTTTGCTTAAGATTTTTGCCTGAATTTCATCCCTGACCCAGGAAAATCCCTCTGAGACTCTCCAGGGACCAGATCTGTAAGGGGGCTGGGAATAACAGAAGTTTGAAATATAGAAGGTAGAAGGTGCAGAAATTTGTAATGTTTTTTATAAAGCCTACCTTGGTTTGCCAGAATAATTTTTATTTAAGTAACAACTTATAAGAAGGCCTTGCATTGTTAATTAATAACACCCATCTGTGAGCCACACCTTCAATGCATACATTAAGTTGAAGGTGTGTTTCTTGCTGCTCACCTTGGGCTTCAACCCTCTCAGAGAGACAGAATAAGGGATAGTTACTGAGTAGCTACCTCACCCCTGAAAGGTGCTTTGCAGTTTTGATATCCTTGTCCTCCTTTCGACCTCTCATTTGATTTTCACCACACCTGAGGCAAGAAGGGAAGGCATCACGTCCATTTTTTAGATGATGAAACTGATATTCGAAGAGGTCAAGAACCACCTAGACAAGAAGCTAGCCTATCTCCAGATTTCAACCACCTGCCTTTTCCACCACACAGTGGCAGCAACATCAAAAATCATGCGGAGTGAGGGGAATACACTGTGGGGAGACGATGTGGCAAACTTGCCTTCTCTGTGCAAGCAGCCAGCCTCAGATTTAAAGCAATACGAGAAATGAATATCAATGAATTATTTCTTGAATATCTCTTAGGTATCCAACATTGTGTTAAATGTCATAGAAGATCCATAAGGACTGTAAGACATGGCCCCTGCCCTCAAGAAGCTTACAATCCCTTTAGGGAAGTCAAGAAAATCTGGAACATAATATAAAACAATCTCCAATTAAGTACTTTTTCATAATCTTAGGTTTTGGACCAGGAAAAACTTTAGAGATTGCTGGTCAAACATTCTTACTTTCAGGCGAATAATTACAGTTTGGCAGCTCTGTCCCTGCAGTGTTAAACTCCCAATTATCACTTGTCTTCCCTCTCTCACAGGAGACAGCCTCAGGGGACAATTCCCAACTAAGTGTTGGAATATTGAGGGATAGTCAGCTTAGAAAACGTTTTATAGTTTAGGGAACACTTTCACATCAATTGTATCATTTATTCCCCCACAAACAACCCCAAGAGGCAGATATTACTCTGAGCTTTAGGTGAGGAAATTTAATCGACATCTTCTCCAAGATTATAGAATTATTTAGGTTCCCAGGCAGGGCCAGGGAAATGGGAAGGTGTAGGTGATCACATACCTAGTGTGATTTGAGGGAGTACCAGAGAAGACCTCCACTTACCTGTCATTTACCTTGGAATTGTATTCCTTTGATGTTTTAATGTGCTTCTAGTTTTAAAATTTGCCTATTAAAATGCAGGTATCCTTGGAGGAGCTGAAGTTTATCCGCTTTCCCTGTTTTTATCAGAGAGATTCTTAGTGGAATGCCAGCTTAAGGAAGAACCAATTAGGGAGGGAAAGAGAGGAAGGGAAGGTCATCACATAGAGAGGGGAAAGCATCAGAAAAATGATGACTGCAGGTTCAAGGAATTTGACATCAGAATGAAAGAGAGAGGTTGGATCAGGTCAGAAAGAGAAGAAAATCAAACAACAGGCTTGGGGTTGAGAAGACTTGAACATTTTTGAAGGCAGAAGAAAGGAGTTCCTCCATTGTGAAGATAACAGAGACTGGAAGGTAATGCTGGTATCAGGTACTAAAGGCTGTTAGCAGTACTTGGGTCCAGAATACACGTGGAAAAAACCCCCTCTTCCAAAGATTCTCTATGCCCCTCTTCTTTCCTCTTTCCTATTTGGGGAGACAAGTTGTCACGAAGGAAAACAAGCCTGGTTTCTTCATTCAGAAAACATTGATTTGGGAATTCCCTGGAGGTCCAATGGTTAGGACTCTGTGCTCTCACTGCTGAAGACCCAGGTTCAGTCCCTAGTCTGGGAACCACTAAGATTCTACAAGCTGCACAGTGTGGCCAAAAGAAAAAGAAAAAAGAAAGAAAGAAAACACTGATTATGTACACAGTACTGTGTGAATTGCTATAGGGAGAGAAGGGACATAAAAAATGTCCCTGCCCTCAGAGAAATTTATAAAATAGATTGGAGAAAAGGGATACACACAAGGAAATAAAGAGACAAATATGGCCCCATCCATAAAAAGCCATAATTAAGGAGCAAATGAATGGCCCACTGGCAAAAGCCTCTGGATGATTACAGCTGATCCATTATCTTATGCCATATGTAAAAAACCATTGGATGAGAATTCTGAGTATGTTTATGTGCAGGAAGGAAATGTTATTTCAATAATTATTTTTAGAAATAAGGGCTATTATTACATATGCACAGATGCATACACACAAAAGATACACACACACACACACACACACACACACACACACACACCTAAGTCAAACGTGACTGCTGAATACCATTCCTCGCATACACACAGATCATGATTTTTGTCTGCCAGGACACCACACAAACACCCCATCTGCATACCATTATGGACACATCCAGGAGCTTAGCATGTCATGGCTCTTACCCACAAATCTGTGTTCTCCTATCTGACTACAGCCCCCTCATCAGTCACCTCCTCCATTGTCCCCACGTCCAGAGAACCTGCCATTCATCCACACCAGAATCCTTCAGACACTCACCTCCCATCTCCATCAGAGCATGCCTAGGCCCACCTATCACTCGTCCAGCTGGATCGCATGATGGGTGGTTCCATACTCTCCTCTACCCCTGATTTCCATGGCTTCGTGAGCCCTGGCATTCCAGTCCTCAGAGGCCACTCCCACTGCTACAACTTCCTCCTCAGCTTCTACTCCAGGTTCAGAGAACTTTGCTCAAGGAAGATGTAGAAACACAGAAAACTCACCCATTACATATCTACAGATTCATGCCAGGGAACAACCACAGCAGGACCCTAGGGCCACCAGGACATCCTTTCAGGCATATCCTGTTGATCCTTTTCTAGAAACCCCACAGAGGTGGATCTGGACCTTCTCTCTCCTCAGTTTCTCAATCTGTCCCATCCCCATGGCCCAACCAGACGGCGGTCTCAGTTCTTTCTCTTAAAAGATTGCAGCTATCTTGTTTGAGAATGCCCTGAATTACTTATCACCTGCTGATCTCATTCCTCTCTCCAATCTAAGACTTTGTCCTCCTTAAGCCAGGTGCCATCATTTCTTGTATGCTGGGTGCCTTGCCCCATACTTCCCCTGCCCTCAAAACATAGGTGACAAATGTCCACAAATCACCTCTCACCAACCCTACTGTACTCTCATGTTGCTACCCAAACTCTCCTTTGTTACTCTCTAAAACTTCCCAAATATGACCTATCCATGCTGCCACCATTATCATTCTATGCATGTTTTCCTAAATTATGCATAGTCCAAGTGTTTCTGCAGAATGATTACAGGTAGCCTGGGTCTTGGGTTCAGTGTGGCTTAAATCCTCAGATCCTGGAGAACTAGCAGCTTACCAAGATTCATGCTCTGCAGCAACAAGAAATGCTTGAACAGCTCTGGGGTAACTGCATTTTACCAGGCGCTTCTCCCTGGAGGCATCCTTTCCCTGGTTGGAACCCAAGTAACAAACCTACACTGTTCCCTTCAACACCTCAACCACCACCATGCATGGCAGGTGGAGGAAGGTGAATGCCAACTGTGTTTAGCTCAAGGTCTGTCTGTTTACCACCAGACTCCGGACCACCATTCCCAGGTGCCCTTCACCCTCCTAGCACCCATCCTGGGGGGTCTTTCAACAACAACCTGCCTTCTGAATAAGGTTTCACTGATCAGCTCCTTCCAACTCTGCCCCTTTTCCTCCTCCTCACCTGAAATCTCATCATCCCAGGTTCATAGCATCCAACAATAGAGCGGTACAAATCTGTTTTACTGGAAAGGGGGAGCAGGGCTACGGGTTATAAGTACAGTGAACCTGCAATCAAGGCACACAGTCTGATAGGTGCCAGGGCACTTATAGAAACAAACCAGGACATTTGAAATCAACTCTCTGATGGAAAATTCTGGACTTGTGGACTGCATAGATACAATGGAAAGGTTAGAGATTTGGATGTGTTTCTAGGACAGATAGAAATAAAAATGTCTGATACATAGTTTAAAAAAAAGATAAATCAGATACTCACTATTCAAGGCATTTAAAATGCCAAATAACTATAATCACTCATTTTTCAGCCTTTAGCAGTCATGTTCTCCTCACAGCCTTAGGTTCCTCATCTGCAAAATGAGGCTTAAATAGATAATTTGGGGTTTCGTGTAGAGATTAACCCTTTCCAGCTCAGCTCCTAACTTGACTGGTACCCAGTGGCTCACAAGGCTCAAAAGGATTAGATGGGGGGGAGCAATAAGACACTGAACTCTTCCCTTACTCATTCTCTCTGCATGCTTTTCCACTTTTCTCTTCTCTCTCCTGCGCCCTACCTCTTCCCATTTTTTCTTTCTTTCTTTTCTTCACTATGTGCTTCCTTCCTTTCTCCACTTTTCAACCTCACTTTCCATCTCAAGAAAGCAATCACATTCCTCCCATCTATTCTGAATGTTACAGGAGAAATGGGTAGTGGTCCGAGAAGTGTTTGCCCTTCAAAAATGGTCTGAGAACTCAGAGTTTGCAAATGTCTAGATCTTTGAAAGCAATCTGGTACCCAAACTGAGGCACAAATAGAAAAGGATTCAAAATGCTTGCCCACTGATGGGAAGGACTGTGTGGCCTTGGGAGAACCCTAGATGCACTGGAGGCCTGACTAAAGCTGTATATGCACATAAAATGTTATGGGCTGGGGCTTCCCTGGTGGTGCAGTGTTAAGAATCCGCTTGCCAATGCAGGGGACAGGGGTTCGAGCCCTGGGCCGGAAAGATCCCACATGCCGTGGAGCAACTAGGCCCATGAGCCACAACTACTGAGCCTGCACGTCTGGAGCCTGTGCTCCGCAACAAGAGAGGCCGCGATAGTGAGAGGCCCGCGCACCGCAATGAAGAGTGGCCCCCGCTTGCCACAACTAGAGAAAACCCTTGCACAGAAACAAAGACCCAACGCAGCAAAAATAAATAACTAAATTAATAAACTCCTACCCCCAACATCTTCTAAAAAAAAAAAAAAATGTCCACCTCCTAATCCCTGAATCCCTTAAATATGTTACCTTGCATGGCAAAGGGACTTGTGGGTGTGATTAAAATAAGGGCCTTGGGCTGCCCTGGTGGCGCAGTGCTTGAGAGTCCGCCTGCCGATGCAGGAGACGCGGGTTCGTGCCCCGTTTCCGGAAGATCCCACATGCCGCGGAGCGGCTGGGCCCGTGAGCCATGGCCACTGAGCCTGCGCGTCTGGAGCCTGTGCTCCGCAAATGGGAGAGGCCACAACAGTGAGAGGCCCGCATAACGCAAGGAAAAAAAAAAAAAAAAAAAGTAAGGGCCTTGAGATATGCTATACTATTTTTGCAACTTTGAGTCTAAAATTATTTCAAAATAAAAAAAATTTTGTAATGAAATAGTGATTACGGTCTCCCATTTTTATTAATCAAAGACATGTTTACCTGTTTGTAAATACATATTTAACAGATTTGTAAATCACATAAATGGAGTTCGATATAGCCTTGGTAATTTGTTTCCTCTTGTCAACAAAAATTAATCAGTTGATTTAAGAAAGAAATGGGAAATTTTTTCGAGCCAAATTATGGATTATAACCCAGGAAAAACAACATCTCAGAAAGCTCTGAGAACTGTTCCACCCATTAGAAGTCAAGGCACAGGTATATAAGTTTTTCGAGACTGAGGGCTGTACATCAAATGATGTATAGTTGACAGTTTATTTAATCCAGATCTAAGCAGCATGGTGGTGGGTCATGTGATTCCTTACAAGATAGAGGAGGGATGTTATCTTTTAAGGAATTGTCTTGTGGATGCTAGGAGCACGGTACTCTTTATGGTTGAGCAGGTATTCCTGCTGCCTGCTGATGGGAGTGGTTTGGCCGATGCATAATGCAGATACAAAATGCAAAGTGGGGGGAGAGGGGAGGCCAAAGAGCAGAGAAGATTTTGTTGTTGTTGTTTAAATTTCTCTTGTCTTGCCATAAAAATATGACTTTTATTTCATACTCTTTTCTTAAGGTTAAACCACAGCTTGAAGAAAAAACAAATAAGACTTATGAAGAATTTGAAGCTGTGGAATATAAAACTCAAGTGGTTGCTGGAACTAATTACTACATTAAGGTTAGAGTTCAACATTCGCTTTAGCACTAAAAGATATTGTTGTATCTTTCACTTTATGCAATGTTCCCTGTCTCCCCTACCTTATAATTTGTTCTTTCTCCTTGTCCTAAATCAAGATGCCTACCTAGCATGGTACTGCCCAAGTGGTAAACTCTCAAACTTGGCAGATGATGGTATATTTATATCATCTTTTTCTTGTGAATTTAGAAAGCTTTCTTATATTAATTCTTAACTTAATTTCCAGAAAATGTATAAAAAAGATTTCAGAATTCAGAGCATGCTTAGCTTGTGGCCATGGCTTCTTCATGTGGGATCCTAGGATCCTAAAGATGTGGGGCTGGACCAGATGCTATCTTGAAGCTTATTCCATCTCAAAACTTTGTGATTCTATGTGTCTAAATTAAATGGGTTTAAGGAATGATTTGAATCATTAGCTGGGAAAATCATTTAAAACAACTTTTGCCCTTTAAATAAGCATTTTGATTAATATAATTTAAATATATTATTTTTGTAACTCAAATAACTAGTTTCAACTTGTGGCACTATAGGTGTAGTTTGAAGCAGTGGAGTATTAAAAGTATTTAAAAAATTAATTTTATAGTTATATCAGAAAATTAAGTGAGGCACTGATCCGGTTCTAAATGAAGAAAACTTTTGTGAAGTTATTGAGAGGGAACCAATCCAACAAATCAACCATGGATATTTGGAAGCCATTTTCAACTTTTTGTATTGAGCAGATGATAATTCTCATTTAGTAAATAATTACAACAGACATTCAAATGTATTTACTTAATCTTTACCAACCTACTTGACGAGGGCACAGTCCGGCTTATTTCTCTTTAACAAACAATTAATCACTTAAGATATAAAATTTTTTTTAATGTTTTCAGCACAAAAAATAAAATGTGTTGTTAAGCAGCTCGGCATGAAAAAATTCCAAGACTGGGTCATGTGAAAAGATCAGCCCAAATTGGGAGATTGGGATTGACATATATACACTAATACGTATAAAATAGATAACTAATAAGAACTGCTGTATAAAAAAATAAATAAAACAAAATTCACACACACACACACACAAAAATCAGCCCAGTCCTACCACATTTGAGGTCCTGGTACATGCCAGGTGCTGGGGTGCTACACAGGGGTGAGATCCTGCCTCATCCTCAGAAAGCAATGGTCTTGTTTCCTCCCTTCCTGCTTTCTTCACAGCTAGAAAAGAATGGTTTCTAGTTAAAAGTGGTTTTGTTCAAAGATAAGAAACATTCCATCAAAATTGGGATCATTATTTTAATAATTTATGATGAATCCAAGTACAAAAATTTTGCATACTAACCAGCTCATACCTTTCTTAAAAGGCCCATCAGAAAACTATCTTGGAAATTTCTTCCCTTAAGACCACAGTCCCCTTCCCTCCCTACCTCACCCTCCATCTGCTATCAAATTTCTCCTGTGGGATTAAAGTCACTGACCACAGTTTCCTCCTTACTTCCTGGCCATCTAGCTGTTGACCTCTTTGATCTGAGACACTCACTCTCTGGATTTCAGATCTGGCTGGTGATGTGACCTCCTCTTGTTTTTCTCAAGTACCTGTCAAGAGGCAGGTGGTAAAATGGAAGGATTTGGTGTCAGACAGTCCTGGGTTTGAACACTTACTCGGCTTGTTTGACTGGTTAAAACCTATGCGATCCACAGCCCCTCATCTTCTCTGAGCCTTAATTCGTTTAGCTTCACAACATGAATAATAATAACCTACTTTGCAGGGTGTTGTGTGGAATAAACGAACTAGAAATTTACTAAGCACTTATGGGGACTTCCCTGGTGGTCCAGTGGATAAAACTCCATGCTCCCATTTCAGAGGGCCCAGGTTTGATCCCTGGTCAGGGAACTAAAAGTTTACATGCCACAACTAAAGATCACACATGCTGCCACGAAGATCCAGTGTGCCACAACTAAGACCCGGCACAGCCAAATAAATAAATAAATAAATTTTTTTAAAAGAAAAGAAGTTTACTAAGCACTCACAATGTGCCAGGCACTGTCCTAAGAGCTGGGCATGTATTATCTCATTTAATCCTCTCAACATGTCTATAAGTATGATCATTTCCTTCGTGTTGCTGATAAGAAAATTGCCCCCTGGGGAGGTGAACTAACTAACAAAGGTCACAATACTATAAGATCACAGCCAGAATTTGAACCCAAGTAGTCTGATACTTACCTATTAGCTGTGCTGCCTCTAATAATGTATGCAAAAGCTGGTGCCCTGTTCCAAGCACAGAATAAATGTTTTTGAAATGTTACCCCATAGAGTAAAACTAACACAGATGTTGAAGTTTGGCTTTGTCTCTTATTAGCTGAGAGATTTATGATAAATTACTTAATCTCTCTTAATCTGCTTTGCATCTGTAAAATGGTCCTTGTTCCACCTTTCTTCTTGCCTGGAACAAAATGTAAATATAATCAAGTATATAAGATGGTCATCATAGTGTCTGACTCATGGTAAACATTTGATAAATGACATTTATTAAAATTAGTTTAGTTAGATTTATATATAAAGAATGAACTAGTGGTTACCTGTGGGGAGAGGGAATGTGGGAGGGGCAAGATAGGGGTAGGAGATTAAGAGATACAAACTACTAAGTATAAAATAAATATGCTACAAGGATATATTGTACAGCACAGGGAAATAAAGCCATCCTTCTATAATAATTTTTTTAAATAAAATAAAATTAGGTTAGGAAGGGACATCAGAGCACAATAAATATTATTCAAAGACAAAACTTTTACTGTCTGAACCAAGAACAAAAGTGGGAATTCTTACCATAGTTTTCTAGGTCCCAGATTCATGCCCAGATTACCATTTCAATTTTCATACCAATGATTTCCCAGCAAGATCCCTTTACTTCAGAAGGTAAACTAGACTCTACACCTCAGGGCCCTGCTCAGTTTTACCTATGGGCATTTATAAAGCAGGTTCTAATATAGATATGGGAACCACACATCCCAAATTCTCTAGGGCAATTCCTATTTTCTTCTCCTTGCTCAAGCCATGTGACAAATAAAGTATCCCAATTTGGGAGTCAGAAAATGGAAACATCAAAAAGACTGTCACTTGTTTTCTTGATCTGTGCATCTTTGAAAATGAAATGCCAACTCTGGACTTTCATTTGTGCACAGAATATAGTAAACTATAAAATAAAATAAACCTAGGACATATGTCTCTTGCCATGCCTTTAGCCTGCCCTTTCTCTCATAAAATAAGATGGAAGGTTTATGTAAACTAAGGGTCTAAGAATGGTGGTCTAGGAATGCTATTCCAAAAGAGCTTATTGCAGCTAAATCTTTATAGGTCTGTAGATCTTTCATTTGACATGGATCCGTGTGAATGAATCTCCTTTTGCTTTTTTTCTTTTTTTTAACTTCCAGATACGAGTAGGTGATGATCGTTATATTCACATAAAAGTATTCAAAAGCCTTCCTCAACAAAATCAGTCTTTGGCACTTACTGGCTACCAGGCTGACAAAAGCAAGGATGATGAGCTCACCGGCTTCTAGCGACATGTTCTGAAAGCAGTCGATTCTTTCCACTGTCTCCTGATTAATGGCCCCTGCTAATAAATGTAACTATCAATAAAGAATTCCTTTTCAAATACATTAATCTCTTCTACTAGCTCTCGTCTGTTTTGTTTTTTTTTTTAAAGATGTTGTGGGGAGCTTCCCTGGTGGCACAGTGGTTGAGAGTCCGCCTGCCGATGCAGGGAACACGGGTTCGTGCCCCGGTCCGGGAAGATCCCACATGCCGCGGAGCGGCTGGGCCCATGAGCCATGGCCGCT